TCTCATGCTTCTATTTTCTGAGATTGTGGAAATTGTTATTTCTTCCTTCCTGATAATTTCTTAATTTTTTTCCTGTTATACAGATTAGAATATTTCCATTAATCAACCTTCAGGTTCACTTAATCTTTCCTCTATCATATTTATTCTGATATTGAGCCCATGTAGTGAACTTTTTATTTAAGTTACTATAATTTTCAGTTCTAAAATTTCCATTTAGGTATTTTTATATCTTTTATTTCTCTGCAGAGTTTCTATTTTTCCATTTGTTTCAAGTGTATTTGCCATTGGTTCTTGGAGCGTGGTTATAATTGCTACTTTAGAGGCTTTGGTAATTCCAATGCCTGTATCATCTCAGACTTGGAGTCTTTTATTATGCTTTTTCTTTGGGAGATGGCATGATTTTCCTGGTTCCATGAATTGTAATTTTGGATTGTAATTTGGACATTTTAACTATTCTGTTTCTCTGGGTCTTGCTTAAATCATATTTTGTTTGTTAACAGACAATCGACCCAGTAAGGTTCAGGCCATGAGCCCGTTTACCTTCTGTGCACTGGGGCTTCAACACCAGTTTAATGTTTGGTCTTTGAAATTCTCTTCAGAGCTGTTTCACCTCTGTGCCACCCAGTGGCCAGTTTGAGAACTGGGTGGTTATCTACCTTACATCTCAAAGCCTTTGTGTGCTACTTAGGGTCAGAATCATGAATGCACAGCTTGGGGGTATCTCCAGGAGTTCATATGAAATTTTCAATTTTATAGGATTGTTTTCTTGAGCTCCATTTTCTTTGATCTTCCCAACACATTCTAATTCAGAGACCACTTCTCTGTCTTCTGGGTAGAAAGGTGAAGCATTTGCTTATTTCTCTGCCATGCATTTTCTGTCAACTTGTAGGGCCAAGCAGTAAAAGGGTAAAGAGAGAAAAAAGCCAACAGGATTCCCCATATGTTCTTATAAACACAGCTCCTCTGGTCAGAGAGAAGGATTTTCTTCCCTTGGAACTTTAGGCAGTGGCTCAACTGCCTCTGTTGTTAGTAGGATTGCTGGGGGCCTTTCTGGTACTTTCTTTTTTTAAGAAAAAAAAAAGATTTTATTTATATATTCATGAGAGACATAGAGAGAGAGGCAGAAACGCTGACAGAGGAAGAAGCGAGTTTCCTGTGGGGAGCCTGATGCGAGACTTGATCCCAGGGCCCCGGGATCATGACCCGAGCCAAAGGCAGATTCTCAACCACTGAGCCATCCAGGTGCCACTATCTCACTTTTTCTATGTGATTTTCTTCCAGACTGCTTATAGCTAAGGTTGCAGTATCACTTGACAATCTTCCATACGCTTTCCATCTTCCCTCTTGACAGTTGTTTCTATAGTTAAATTCCCTTCCATCCTCTCTTCCTTTCATTTTATACTTTCAATTACTGTCATTTTTAAATTTTTTAAAATTTTATTTATTTATTTATTTGGTCATTTAAAAAATAGATTTTATTTGAGAGAGAGAGAATGAGCAGGGCAAGCAGCAGAGAGGGAGAAGCAGGCTTCCTGCTGAGCCAGGAGCCTGATGAAGGACTCAATCTCAGGACCCTGGAATCATGACTGGAGCTGAGGGCAGGCGCTTAACCAACTGAGCCAGCCAGGTGCCCCTCCATTACTGTCATTTTATTTTATTATTTTTAAAAGTTATTTATTTATTCATGAGAGGAGAGAGAGAGAGAGAGAGAGGCATGCAGAGACACAGGCAGAGAAAGAAGCAGGCTCCATGCAGGGAGCCTGATGTGGGACTCGGTCCTGTGTCTCCAGGATCATGCCCTGGGCCAAAGGTGGCACTAAACTGCTGAGCCACCTGGGCTGCCCCATTACTGTCATTTTAAGGGAACTTTAGAGAGAGAGCAGAAATAAGCACTGTATGCAATCACTAATCTTTGTCTCTTCACTTCTCTGGTCATTCTGCTCCTTTTTTAGTTATCCATGTAGACTCTACCAGTTTTATGTTGTCACACTTCCACCATATTATCACAATACGTTGATTTCCAAAATGTGTCAAGTAATCTTTAAAAGCAGTTAAGACTATGGATAACTCTTTTTGCCAGTTTCTACCCATACTTAGAGGAGTTCCCCTCTTGAGTATTAGCAGAGAAAAAAAAATTTCTCTTTGGATTTCCTTCCTTGTAGGAGACTGTGCCTGAAAGCAAAGTCAATTCCATAATAGAATGTTGTTGAAATTTTATGACTTACTATACAGTAATAGAAAATTCACGTCTTGATGAAAGTAATAATAACAATAGCAGCTAACTTTTTTTTATATAATAGTATGTGTATTACTGTCCTCATCAACAGTTAACAGGTCACTCAGGATGTGTTCTACACACTTTATTATTTTTTTCTCCTTTTTTTCTTTTCTTTTTTTCTACACACTTTATACATATTAATTCGTCAATGTATGTATACCCATATACATCTTAATTCATCAAACTGATGATTCTTTGCACAACATTTAGAGCAGCCTCATGAATATTGAGTTGATGGGTGGGCATTTTTTCAAGCAAGCAAAGAAGTTTTATATAAATTGAGACTATGCTGAGCCATAAAACAAATTCTAACATATTCCAAAAGGATTAGAATAATATAGGATATGATCATCACAGTAATGATTCAATGAAGAATCATCAATGAATTTTATTTTTAAAGATTTAAAAAAATTATTCTGAGAGAGAGGCAGAAATACAGGCAGAGGGAGAAGCAGGCTCCATGCAGGGAGCCCGACGTGGGACTTGATCCCGGGTGCCCAGGATCACACCCTGGGCTGAAGGTGATGCTAAACCACCGAGCCACCCGGGCTGCCCTCATCAATGAATTTTAAATATATGATAAATGGCATATTTATTTTAATAGTCTAAAATAGTCTAAAAGCATCTCCTTGCATACTACTTATTACGAGAGAAAAATATTCTTTCTAGTGGAGAAACCTGGAAAGCACCATCTTAATCAGAGGATTGCATTTACTACTACTAATAACAGGACAGTCACATCATGTACTCCCTGATATAATGCCTGGAAGAGATGTAGTATTTGTCAAAAATTCATAAATGTGGGTGCCTGGGTGGCTCAGTTGGTTAAGCATCTACCTTCGGCTCAGGTCATGATCCCAGGGTCCTGGGATTCAGTCTTGCATAGGGCTCCCTGCTCAGTGGGGAGTCTGCTTCTCCCTCTACCCCTCCACCCTGCTCCACCCTGCTCATGTGCTCTCTTATGCTCTCCATCTGTCTCAAATAAATCTTTAAATGCAAAGATACATATTCTGAACCAAATCATGAGGAAACAGTTAACAAACTCGAGTGATGTAATTCATTACATTAATAGATAAGAAAAAAAATTAGAATAAGCTAAATTTAAGAGAAAAAAAACCACTAGAGTAGATACAAACCAGAAAAAGAATGCAAAATTGAACAGATCATCTCTACACTGGACTCAAAGTCAGGCGTGGTCTGTCCATTTCATTCGGGATCAGAGAAAGTTCTTGCTTCACCAGATTTAATGGGATAGTGTCAGACTAGATTGAATCTGCCATATCCCAAATTGTGATTACTCATTACAATCCACATACTTCACCTGGATTCCACTGCAGCTAGGAGTTGGCATGCAATTCAGGTACTACGGGAACCTTGGATGTGGAGGAAGTGAGCATATGGGGTGACAGTGGCATATGGAGGGGTAAGATCTACAGTGGCAGGAGTTACTGGTTCTCTTCAGGTACCTGTGGAAGTTTCTAACATCCAGTCCCTAGAACACTAGATGGTGAGCATTAAGTGGCAGTAGCAGGTTTCCTTGAACATACTTGAATACAGTACTATGTATTTGAGCCTTTATCCTTACTGCTTTTTTTTTTTTTTTTGGGTTAAACAGTCCTTAAGTCTAATTCCTTGGTCTTCTGAAAATTCTTCAAATTATAAAATACCCTTTACTTAATTCCTTGCTGTTGAAAATATATAGAAAGGGGACACCTGGGCGACTCAGTTAAGCGTCCAACTCTTGATTTCAGTTCGTGATCTCAGGGTTGTGGGATTGAGCTCCATGTTGGGCTCTGCATTGGGCATGGAACCTGCTTGTGATTCTCCTTCTCCTTCTGCCCCTCCTCTACACTGCCTGTGCTCGCTTGCTCTCTCTCTAATACATAAAAAGGATTTTATCTGCAATTGTTTTTCTCTATTTCATGAATAAAGAGACATCAGTGAATAAACTGTATTGAATTCAACACAGCACATAAAAATGGGGTATTTTTCATTAGTTTTGGAACCTACATATTGTCAAAAAGAAAAATTACAGAAAGATGTATGATCATTTTGGGTTAAAAACCCATGATAATATGCACTATCTGTGTGTACATTTACTTTTTAAAAAATATTTTATTTATTCATTATAGACACACAGAGAGAGACAGAGACATAGGCAGAGGGAGAAGCAGGCTCCCTGCAGGAAGCCCAATGCGGAACTTGATCTCAGGACCCCAGGATCACACCCTGAGCCAAAGGCAGAGGCTCAACCACTGTGCCACCCAGGCATCCCATGTATGAGTTTTATAGATATTATGTGCACTTATTGCCTCTGTAGAAACAGGGAGGACTGAAGGGTAAAGAGAAAACTTTGCCTATTTCTGAAATTACTTACTTATAGAATTTTTTTAAAAAGATTTTGAGAAGAGAGCGAGTGAGCAAGCGAGCCGGGGGAAGAATAGAGGGAGAGGGACAAGCAGACTCCACACCGAGCGCGCAGAGCCTGATGGTGTGTGTGTGTGTGTGTGTGTGTGTGTGTGTGTGTCTGTGTGTGTGCGCGCGCGCGTGCTTAATCCCACAACCCTAAAATCATCACCTGGCCAAAGAGTGGGACACTTAACCAACTGAGCACCTAGGTGCTTCTTTCTTTGATAAAATTTTAATAAAAGACAATTAGATGTCTAGTAGGCAGCAGTTACACAGGTGCTACTGTTTTTCTGAATTATTTTATTTAGTCAAGAAAATTTTAAAGCATAAAACAAGAAAATTTGGAAAAGTTAGGAGAAAGAGACAATTCAGGCACAAAACCAAAAAAGTAGATCTCATACAGCAAAAAAGAATTATTTAAAACAGGGGTGAGCAAACTACAGCCTGCAGGCCAAATGTGGCCTGTTGATTGTGTAAATTCAGAATTTCTCAGCTTTGGCACTCATGACATTTTGGACAGATAGATGTGTTGTGAGCACTGTACTATGCATTGTAAGGTGTTCAAAGCATCCCTGGCCTTTGCCTACAGATGTCAGCAGCCGTCCCCCTCAAAGTGACCACCAAAAATGTTTCTGGACAGTGCCCAATGAGTTAGGAGTAGGAAAGGCAAAATTACCCCTGGTTGAGAATCATTGATTTATGTATGTTTTCACACTACAAAGGCAGAGGAGACTTTATGGCCACAAAGGCTAAAATATTTACTATCTGGTCTTTCACAGAAAACGTCTGTTGATTTCTTTTGCCATTAAAAAAGGCAAAAAAAATACATGCCAGACTAAGAAAAACAACTGCAAAGTATATGACAAAACAAAGTTTCTACAAACTGCTTCAAAAACTACTTCAATTTAAAAAAGAGAATACATAAAAACAAGCAATTCACAAAAACAAAATTCAAATAACTCTTAGGCATCATATATATTCAACCTCATTGGCAGTTAAGAAAATGCAAATTAAAGGCACTTTTTTCTTCACTCAATTTAACAAGATTCAGTCCTTGTTGAAGTTGTTGGGAATGGACATACATTCCTACATCAATGTCAAATTTCAGAAAATAATGAGGTATTAACTATTGCATTTAAAATAAACCATGCTGTAAGGCAAGGGATCCAACTGGTGGGAATCTATCCACTCAGCAGAAATATAAACACCAACATGAAACAATACGTGTGTAGTAAAACTGTTTTCCAATTATTTGTAAAATAACAAATCTGAACTTTCACTAGTGGAAGACTGGGCTGCATATATTATGTCTTTATCATGAATGAGTCTAAAGCTAAAAAGCTATACCTGCAGGTTCTGACTGGAAGGAAGTCCAGTCATGGTCTGCTACCAAGTGAGAAAAGAAGATAGCACTTCAATACATAAGCACAATTCTGTTCCAGCTATGCTATACACACAGACTACACCACCAAAACAAACTTTCTAGATATGGCCGTGCTTCTTGAGTATGGCAAAAAGCGTGGGAGGCTGTTGGTATTGGCAATTCAGAGAGTAAGCATAGGTTTTTTTTTTTTTTTTTTTAAATTTCACTTACTTATAATCTCTCCATCCATCATAGGGCTTTAATTCATGACCACAAGATTAAGAGTTACATGCCTTTTGGGGTGACTGAGGGGCTCAGGTGATTAAGCATCCTGGGTGGCTCAGTGGTTGAGCATCTACCTTTGGTTCAGGTCATGATCCTGGGGCCCTGGGATTAAGCCCCGAGTTGTGCACACTGCTCAGCAGGGAGTCTGTTTCTCCCTCTTCCTCTGACTCTCCCTGCTGCTCATGCTGTCACTCACTTTCTCAAAAGAATTTTAAAAAAAGATTTTATTTATTCATGAATACACAGAGAAAGGCAGAGACATAGGCAGAGGGAGAAGCTGGCTCCCTGTGGGGAGATGGATGTGGGACTTGATCCCGGGACCCCGGGATCACGACCTGAACCAAAGGTAGATGCTCAACCACTGAGCCACCCAGGTGTCCCTCCGCTTAAAAAAGAGTTGCATGCCCTTCAGACTGAGTCAGTCCAGCACCCTGATAGATTTTTAAAAAATCTTTATGATATACCTGTTTTTTATACGTTATAGAAAATTAGAATACAACTTTGAAGCCTTGACAAGAGAAATGTGTATACATAGGCAAAAACTAAAAGAGAATCATCTCTTAACATTTTTTATAACTGAAAAAATGTTAGGAATTATAATGAAACCAGCATCATGTCATGCCTAGTTTTGCCTACCTTTATTAATTCTTCAATTTCTTCTCAGGGCAGAACTTGTCCTTTTTTTTTTTTTTAATTTTGTTTATTCAATAGAGACACAGAGATAGAGAGGGAGAGGCAGAGACACAGGCAGAGGGAGAAGCAGGCTCCACGCAGGGAGCCTGACGGGGGATTCGATCCCGGGTCTCGGGGATCAGGCTCTGGGCTGAAAGAGGTGCCAAATCACTGAGCCACCTGGGCTGCCCATAACTTGTCCTCTTAAAACAGTATGTATAACTTTCAAGAACAGACTTATGAAATAATTATGCCAGTGCAGATAAAATTTAGCAATGATTTCCCTCCTTTAACAAATGCTTAGGTAGGGGTGCCTGCCTGGCTCAGTCAGTAGAGCATGCAACTCTTGATCTCGTGGTCTTGAGTTCAAGTCCTACGTTTTTAAGCTTACTTTTTTTTTTAAAGAGTATTTTTAAAGAGATTTTATTTATTTATTCACGAGAGACACAGAGGGAGAGAGAGAGGCAGAGACACAGGCAGAGGGAGAAGCAGGCTCCATGCAGGGAGCCCCTTGTGGGACCCGATCCCGGGACTCCAGGTTCACGCCCTGGACTGAAGGTGGCACTAAACCGCTGAGCCACCCGGGTTGCCCCTAAGCTTACTTAAAAAAAAAATTAAATGCTTGAATTTTTATTATAAATTGTCCCACAATAGGCTGACATTATCCACGATTGATTTAATTTACTCAGGTTTATATTAAACTTATCTGAAGTATGTATTATTTCCTAAAGTGTGAGGCTAAAGTGGAATCCACTGGATGGTGATTATTCCAATGTGTGGGTAACCCAGGAGGTAGGATTAAGTGGATAACTGCAGTGACTTCATAGCAGTTGAACATACATGCTATAATAGTTTCTCATTTATTGCTTTCCGTGGGAAATAGTTATTTTAGGTTCTAGTTTTCAATGTGTAAACACTACCTTTATATGTTACGTTACAAAACAATTGGGAAAGGTAGTGAACTATTTTTTTCTGGACTAAACTGCCCCCCCCTCCATCTCCTCCAATAGGCTGCTAAATTTGACTTGCTATTTTATTTTTTATTTTTATTTTTTTAAAGATTTTATTTATTTATTCATGAGAGACACAGAGAGAGAGAGGCACAGACACAGGCAGAGGGAGAAGCAGGCTCCATGCAGGAAGCCCGACGTGGGACTCAATTCCAGGTCTCTCTTTTTTTTTTTAATTTATGATAGTCACACAGAGAGAGAGAGGGGGGCAGAGACATAGGCAGAGGGAGAAGCAGGCTCCATGCACAATCCCAGGTCTCTTGATCAGGCCTTGGGCTGAAGGCGGTGCTAAACCGCTGAGTCACCCGGGCTGCCCTTGACTTGCTATTTTAATTGGAATATTCACATACCATAAATATAGTAGATTGTTTTTATAGCTGATTTGATTTGGATGTTGTCCTTTTCCAAATTTCTTCAAAGAGTTATGCTTGCCTCATAGTTGTGACTCTGTATCTTGGAGACTAGAAGATTTTATCTGTTAGATATTCTGATACTAGAGGAATCATGGTATACCTCTTTAATCAGTTTTTTATTGGTCCTTACTTTATTCAGGAAAATACTCTTTCAGGATTTCAGACATGTTTTAAAAAAGCTGAATATCAATACATACTATACAATGTTAGAAGTAAAAAAGAAAACATTTCCTGTGTCTTATTAATCAAAATACAATATGTGTATACACTTGTCTAAAAATATTTAATGCTTTTCCTGCAATTTCAGATATACTATAAAAAGTTGAATATAAACATTTTCTCATCTTACTAAAATATTAAGGTGAATAAATATGTAAAAATATTTTTTCCAGGACTCGAGTCTATCATAAAAAATTGAGTATAAACTTACAACACATGCATGAAGTTTCTTATTTTACTAAAAACCCAGAGACAGGACAGCTCTGCATTATTTCATTAGCCCAAAAATGTCAGGAGTGCAGGTAATTCCCATCTATCTGCTGTGCCAATCTTAGCCTCTCACCGCATCTGACAGCAACATGGGCCACAATTCCAGGTATTGCACAGACATATAGTCATGCATCCTGTAATGTAAGAGGATTATTTCCTATTTTTTTAGGAAAGAAAACTTAAAGCATACGTGCAGACTTTTGCTCAGGTCTTCTATGGCTAGGAATGCAAAGCAGATGCAAAGCAAACTAGGAGAGCAAGACCTAGACTTTAGATGGGCAACAGGCAGTGCTCCTGGTATAGGGAGCATGGATAGGCACCCAACAGTGTCTGCCACAATACTGCCTTATTTCTTTAAAATTTCCTTTTTATAGTCACATTTTCTCTCATTAACGATGCTTGAGGATTCTTTTCCCCCATCCCAATATGTTTTCAAAGTTTTCGTTTTGTTTTGTTTGGCTTTGCTCTCTTAATTTGTTAGCTTTTCTACACACTAGAGTCGAATGCTTCTTCATTCACGCTTTCATTCCTCTTACTTCAACAAGTGTTTACAGGGAACCTATTAAAACCGGCAGTTCACCAAGTACAGTGAACTGGCAATGAATCATGGCCATTAATTGTCCACATTTTCTACATATATTAAAAGAAGTCAATTTTCCTAGGAATAGCTTTGTCGCAGCCTACAAATTTCAACATATAGTTAGTTGTCTCTTTGTCATTCTTTCTGAATTATAACTTGCCTTATTTCCTTTCCCCTAGTGAGGCAAGAGGGCAAGATGAATGAAAGCTTCAGTTTTTAATTTTTCTCCAGAAGGAATTACCTGATATTCAATAAAAAGATGATGTAAAATGTTCCTATAGTCACTACACACATAAGGCTTTTCTCTAATATGATTTCTATCCACAAATATGAAAATAAAAGCAGCTCTTGTTTAATACACTTTAAATATGAGCCACAGTATGCAGTATGTAATTATTTAATCTTCAAAATACTAACAAGATGGGGCTAATATTGCTAATTTATAAGTGAGAAAGTTTAGACCCAGTTAAGTTATTTGCCCTATAAGGCAAGTAAAGACTGAATATTGGTTAAATCCTTTCTTACTCTGCTTCAGTTCCATTTTAGAGGATGAGCTTGCAAATACTTAAGATTTGAGCGGGACAGAAGAATCTGCTGCATTTTTAACATTCCTGTAGCCTTCCTCAAGTATGAATTATGAGATGAATAACTTGTTAGCTAAAGCAAATTGGTCTCCTATAACATTTATATATTATGAACCCTCTGATTTCCCACAGGGCAAATGACCCTGATGTTGAGAAACATTTGTACAACTGTCTGACACATTAACTGCCTTCCAAAGACTTTCCTTACATTCAGGGAGTTTTCTCACTTTTATACCAATTGAATCCTGATGTTTAATAAATTTTTGAATATAAATAAAACCCTCTCAATCCCTAACATTTATAAAGTATCTCAGCAGTAACACATATCAGATAAATTCCAGCCCTCAAATAAAGTCCATAGTGTGAACTCCGATATTGTTATCTTCAAAGGTTTTCCCACATTCCTTAAAAATCAGAGGTTTTTGTGTTTTACTAGTATGACATTGCAGAGGTAACATTTTGAGCCTTCCCACATGACTTCATTCACTCCGCTTCCCTGTATGAATTCTCTGATGTTTACTAAGATGTGAGCCACGAATAAAGGCCTTCCCACATTGCTTACATTTGTAAGGTTTCTCACCAGTATGAATTTTCAGGTGTCGATTAAGTTCTGAGCCACGACCGAAGGCTTTCCCACATTCCTTACACTTATAGGGCTTTTCACCACTATGACTCCTTTCATGATGAATAAGTTCTGACTTTCGAATAAAAGCCTTCCCACATTCCTTACATTTATGGGGTCTCTCACCAGTGTGAACTTTTTGATGTCGAATAAGTTCTGTGCTACAAGTAAAGGCCATTCTACATTCCCTACATTTATAGGGTTTCTCACCAGCGTGAGCTCTCTGATGGCGAGTAAGTTCTGAGCCACGACGAAAGGCCTTCCCACATTCTTTACATTTATATGGTTTCTCACCAGTATGAACACTCTGATGTCGAATAAGATGTGAATCAGAGATGAAAGCTTTCCCACATTCCTTACATTTATGAGGTTTCTCACCAGTATGAATTCTTTGATGTAGACTTAGTTGTGAGGCACAACTATATACTTTCCCACATTCCTTACATTCATAACGTCTTTCACCAGTATGAATTATCTGATGAAGACTAAGTTGAGTGTCATAACGAAAAGCTTTCCCACATTCATTACATTTATGGGGTTTCTCACCAGTATGAATTCTCTGATGTCGAAGAAGGTGTGAGGGACGGGTAAAGGCTTTCCCACATTCCTTACATTCATAATATTTCTCATCAGTATGAATTCTCTGATGTAAATTAAGTTGTGAGGTAGATGGAAAAGCCTTCCCACACTCCTTACATTTATAGGGTTTCTCACCTATGTGGATCTTTTGATGTTTACTAAGTTGTGTACTAGAGTGAAAGCCTTTCCCACATTCCTTACATTTATGAGGTTTCTCACCAGTATTAATGCTCTGAGGTTTAGTAATTTCAGAGCCATGGATAAAGGCACATTTCTTATTTTCTTTACTTTTTTTGCTTTCATGAATTCTCCGATGTTTAATCAAGTTTGACCTACTATTAAAGACTTTCCCACATTCTCCACATTTAGGGTCTTTTTCCTTATTATGACTTCTTTCATATTGAATATGGTGTGATTGGCACCTGAAAGTTTCCTTACATCCCTTGCATTCATAGGTTTTCCCTCTACTATGAATTGTCTGAGGTACACTTTGAACTGTGCACTGAATGGGAGCAGACCTTGCTTCAGAGGTTATGACAGCCTGTCTGAAATGTCCCTCCTGTTGTCTCTCCAAGTGGCATTTGATTTCTCTGTTATCTCTGACCCTAGTGCACTCAAGGTCAGAACTTATAAGTTTTTTTATCTTCATGTGCAATGATTTAATTTCATTACTGTGCTCCTTGGAAAATAAATTCTTGGTTTCTCTTCTGGACTCCCAATCTGTAAGATAACAAGAAAGAAAATGGGAAGTATTTTCACGTGGCAGGAGATAGGAAAGTTCTAAGGTAGAAATGGCATACTGAAAATACTAGTGAATAATTTAAACAGCTCCTAAACACAGCACTTTCTGAAATTTGAAAAAAAAAGCCTAGGTTGTGGAGGGTGGGGGATGAGAATAGAGAAAATGAGGGGAGCTTGTGAAGAAGTAGTTCTTCACTTCTGGTGAAATTCGGAATTAGCTGAGGAACGTTACAAATATGATGTCCAGGAACCACTGCAGACGAACTAAATGAAAATCGTTCTTTCTTTTTCTTTTTTTAAAATATTTTATTTATTTATTCATGAGAGACACACATACAGAGGCAGAGACATAGGCAGAGGGAGAAGCAGATTCCCCGCAGGGAGCGTGATCGGGGACTCGATCCCAGGATCCCAAATCAGGACCTGAGCCAAAGGCAGACGCTGAAATACTGAGCCACCCAGGCACCCACTAAATGAGAATCTAAAGGAGTAGGACATTCTAACAGCAAGTCCTCTCATCTCTACCTTCAAAATATATCCAGATTTTGACTACTTCTACCAGTACCTCTACTACCTTGTCCAAAGCCATCTTTCACCAAGTTAACACACTTTCTTAACAGGGCTCCTTACTTTCATTCTTGCCCTCTTAATATCCCACACCTAAGACAGAAGCCAGAGTGTTCTTGTTAAGTAAGCTAGATTAGGCTTTTCTTCTGCCTCAGTTTCCACTGGATTTCCATCTGGTACAGAGTAAAAGTCAAAGTCCTTATAGGCCTACAAAACCCTCCCTAAACCTACCTTACACTACCTCTTTCTGACCTCATAGCAGATATTCTCCCTTTAACTCATTCTGCTCCAGCTCTTGACCAACTGGATGTTCTTCAAACCTGTGAAGCACACTACTCCTTCAGAATCTCTGCCTGTAAAGAACTTCCATATTAATATGGCTTGTTCAAGTACTTCATTCTGACCTCTACTCAAACATGAGACCACTCTTTACAAAACAGGGGCCTCATTACTCTACTTACTGCATTTTTTTTGCAGTGCATTTATCATCACATATCATCTATTTCCCCAACATTATTATGAGAAGTTTCAAATATACAGAAAATTAAAAGAACTGAGATAGTGAACTCCCATATTCCCATACCTAGATTCTATTAATAAACATTTGGCTCTTGCCTCATCATGTATCTTTCTCTCTCTACATCCATCCATCCTGCAGACATCAGTATACTTTATCTCTAAACTCTAAGATATTATACTTTAACTTGTTTACTTCTGTATTGCCTATCTGTCCTTCAGTGTATCTGCAGAGTAAATACTATTTCATGAATTGGCATTTTTATTAATCTTTCTCAGGGATTCAGAGGCAACTCAAAGTGTGGGACTCCCTGTTTAAACACAGTACATCTCATCTGTACTTATAATAAAATACAAAATTCCTCACTAGACCTGCAAAACTCTGCATTATTTGAACCCTGCTTCTCTAGTCACCTTCATTTTAAGATGCTCTCACCTTCACTCACTATGTACCTACTCTACTGGCTTCCAATGGACTATCATGGCAATTACGTTCTCATCTTAGACTCTATTAGGAAATGCTTTGTCTGCCATGAGTGCTCTGCTCCAGAATCCCTGCATGGCCAGTTTCTTTCATTGTAAATATCTTAATTTTCTGTCAAGTACCCTGTTTTTTTGCCTTTGTAATCTTTTTTCTTAATTCTGGAATTACACATTTATTAATTTATCTATTGATATAATTTCTCCCAAAGTAGCCTAGAACTACCATAATACTTATTTCACTCACCATGATATAACCAATCCCTAGTACATAGTTCAATTAATGTTAACTAAACTAATTGCCAGATTAAGGATATTCCAGTGCAAATAAAGGTAGACATGCTAAAGATAATGACATTACAACAGTGAGAATCAGAGTAATCACTTCGTGTTTTTAATTATTTAATAGGTGAAGGAACTGTCTTCCTACCTCTGCTCCTTCACAGCTTCACCGCCCTCTCCACAGCACTTCCTATGCACATGGCAGTAATGCATAAACAAGCCAGCATCATTAGAATATATTTGTACATGTGCTTATACTAGTCTCCTAGAAGATTGTTACCTTTACACAACAATGGAATTGTTTTATGTAATTCTAAAAAAATTCTAATGGAAACTGAGGACACTATGGCAACCATTTATGAGAAGTTATATGATGTGAGAAAGAGCAAAGATCCAGGCTGCTTGGGTGTGAATCCTAGTTCCATGACTTGCTAGTTGTATGACATTGGACAGTTACTTAACTACTCAGAAATCAAGGAGGCTGGGCAGCCCCGGTGGCGCAGCAGTTTGGCACCACCTGCGGCCCGGGGTGTGGTCCTGGAGACCTGGGATCCAGTCCGCATCGGGCTCCCTGCATGGAGCCTGCTTCTCCCTCTGCCTGTATCTCTGCCTCTCTCTTTCTGTCTCTATGAATAAATAAATAAAATCTTAAAAAAAAAAAAAAAAAGAAATCAAGGAGGCTGAGACACGAGGAGATACTTCGTGTAAGTTGTCACAGCTTGTGCAGGCACCCTGCTGCTTAGGATAGTCTCTTTGTTCTTGCTAAAGTCCAGAGTAGTTGGACCAGCCAAAAGCAAGTTGCAGAAAAGATAAACAGTTGGAAAATCTAGAGAGATGAATAAACTTAGAACAACTGGTAAGAAGATTCTTCTGTGATTAATGTATGATCTATATCTGCGATCTAATGATAATGTCACTTACACTGGGGATGCTACAAGGTTATACTTCAGAGAGGGGCACTAAAAGCAAGAACTATATAATGACAGGTAAAATGATTTTGGCCTTTAATGCTGTATGGGAAGTTTGGCCCTTTGTGCTGTAAGGGAAGTTCCAGACATCAGATGTCAGAAAATACTGTAATTTTAAATATTTTGGAAAAACAATCTTGTGGAAAAGAAAACTGTAAAAAGCATGGATTTGAATCATAAATTTGGACCTTAAAAGAATGCTCAAATCAAAAAGTAACATCCATCAAGGATGCTCCCATTGCTCCTATCCTGCACAATCACTGCTCACTGTTATAAAATTATTCCTCTAAATTGATCTTCAGTCTCTCTGCTTTCCCTACTCCATGATCTCATTCTAGTGCAAGGCCAAATCATCTGGACTTCCCAAACAGGCTCCTACCATGTTTTACCATTTTACTCATGAATCCTGATTCAGTCTCTACGGGACAGCTGGAGAGAGGTCTTAGAAATCAAATTCAATCACATTCCTATCTTGTTTAAAACCTTCAATGGCTGCCAAGTGTCCTCAGGAAAAAAAATCCAACCTCCTAGGCTTACTACAAAGGCCCTGCATGAAGTGGACCTCCATTCAGATTTTCCAGGACATCCACCCAAGACTCTCTCCTTAAGGCCTTCACTGAATAGATTCTTCTACCTTGGTACAGCAGTCCCACCATACTGCCCAGATCCTTCTACTCCTCCTTCCAGCTTCGTATCATTTGTCATGATCTGAAAAGTCTTACCAGTCTGATAATATTGCCCCTAATATTTTCTCACAATACTGCCTTACCTATAACCATCTTCCCTAAATAGACCCCTCATTTCTCTGGCCATTATACAGGCTAGGTTTCTAAAAAAGAAAACTTGCAAGGTTATCAGCGATTAGGGATTTAAATCAGCCCTTAAGTTTTCTGCAGACTGCTGGTGAGACTGGCTCTTCCTGGCCTGAACACTGCTCATGAATTCAAGAAAGGGCCAGAAAGGACCCCAAATCTTAAACTATAATCACACTTGGCCTCTTTCTCCATCAGACACATCATTCCCAGGAGGGGCCTGTGACTAAGACAAGGTCAATTTATTCTCTACAAGGTCAATTGAATCTAATTCCAGCAGGCCTAGCATCCTTCCTGACCCTAGCTACTTCCCAGGTTATTCATCATTACCTTTTGTTTCCATCCAGTGTTCTGTAGCATTCTTTTTATACAATCAAAACAACACTGACTCTTAAAGCTATATATCTGGCTTTTATTCAACTAAGCATATAGCATTGTTTAAAAAATACTTTATAAAAATATAAGATTTTGTATCCCAAATGTGGTTGTGGTTATATGTATCTGCATGTGACATAGAATTTCACAGTAATCTATACCAAATAAAATAAAATAAAAATAAAAAAGGAGGGATCCCTGGGTGGCGCAGTGGTTTGGCGCCTGCCTTTGGCCCAGGGCGCGATCCTGGAGACCTGGGATCGAATCCCACATCGGGCTCCCGGTGCATGGAGCCTGCTTCTCCCTCTGCCTGTGTCTCTGCCTCTCTCGCTCTCTCTCTGTGTGACTATCATAAATAAATAAAAATTAAAAAAAAAAAAAACAAAGTTTATGGAGATATGAACACCATTTAAAAAAAATAAATAAAAAGGAGTATATTTGAAAATCGGTGGAATCTGAATAAAGTCTGTGTAGAGTTTCGTTACTACTATTGTGCCAACATCAATTTCCTAGTTTTGACAGTGTACTAGGATTAGGTAAAATGTTATTAGGGAAAGCTGAGTGAAGGGTACAAGTGACCTCTGTACTACTGTTGTAACTCCTTTGAATCTTAAATTATTTCAAAATAAAAAGCTAAAAAGAAATGGTAACAGCTATAAGCATGTATGTACCTAATAAGAGAGCCCCAAAGTACATGAAGCAAAAACAGAATTGAAGAAAAAAAGATGCTTCAACAAACTGAAGACTTCAATGCTCCATTTTCAATAATGGATAGTAGCTAGCCAGAAGATCAACAAGGAAACAGAAAACAACATACTCATCAAGGAAGAAATCACAAGAGAAATCAGAAAATGCTTTGAGTTGGGTGAAAGAAAAACATACCAAAAGTTATGGGGTACAGTTAAAACAGATCATAAAGGGAAATTTACAGCTTAAAATGCCTATCAAAAAACAAAAAAACAAAAAAAACAAGAAAAATCTCAACTCAGATTATGGAACTAGATAAAGAGAGAAGAGATAAAGAGAACTAGATACCAAAGATACCAGAAGGAAGAAAATAATAAAGATTACAGTAGAGATGAACAAAACAGAAAAATAGGGAAATCAACATAACTCTAAGTTGGTTCTTTGAAAAAGATCAACAAAACTGTCAAACCTTTAACTAGATTGACCAAGAGAAAAAAAAGAAAGAAGACAAATACTGATATCAGGAATGAAAGAAGGACATCACTACCAACCTTACAGAAATAAAGAACTAGGGCTGGGTATATGACTGCTTATGGGTATAGAGTATCATTTTGGGGTGATGAAAAGTTTCTAAATTTATTTATTTTTTATTATTTTTTTTAATTTTTATTTATTTATGATAGGCACACAGTGAGAGAGAGAGAGGGAGAGACACAGGCAGAGGGAGAAGCAGGCTCCATGCACCGGGAGCCTGACGTGGGATTCGATCCCGGGTCTCCAGGATCGCGCCCTGGGCCAAAGGCAGGCGCTAAACCGCTGCGCCACCCAGGGATCCCTAAATTTATTTTTTTTTTAATTTTATTTATGATAGTCACAGAGAGAGAGAGAGGCAGAGACACAGGCAGAGGGAGAAGCAGGCTCCATACCGGGAGCCCGACGTGGGATTCGATCCCGGGTCTCCAGGATCACGCCCTGGGCCAAAGGCAGGCACCAAACCGCTGCGCCACCCAGGGATCCCAAGTTTCTAAATTTAGATTGTTGTCACAGTTGCAAAACTCTCTGACTATATTAAAAACCCCAAACAGTATATTTTAAATAAGTGAATTTTAGGATATGTGATTTATATCTCAATAGAGCTAGCTTCTTTAAAAAGTCAGGACAAAACTGGACACACAGTACAGGGAAAACAGTTATCTCAGGGAAGGAAGAATGGGCTTCCTTCCTGAAATCAGAGGCAAATAAGAAGGAGGATAGCAAGAGTGATAATGAAGTCAAAATTTGAGGCCTTATGCTGAAACATCCTTCTTTTTTTCTCTGGATCTCAGAATTTATCAGGAAGCTTTTCTACCAATAGCTCATATATGCTGCCTTCTCAATGGCCCCTGGGTGACCACCAGTCATGGTCTTCCCCATAGGAGTCACCATCACTCACCTGGGCACCATTCTTTTGGTTCCTTACTCTTAACCATCCAGGGCTCCTTCTCCTGCTCCAGTAAGGATATCACATCTGGCTTAGAACCAAAAAGTCCTGCCCAAAAAAGAAAAAAGAAAAAAAAAAAAAGACAAAGTTATGTTGTATGTGTACCAGAATTAAAATCATCCATGATTATTAAGAAAGAGTAAGTAGGTTAAGGATCAATGGAAGGGATAAAAGTCAGAGGAACAACAATAAAAAACTGTCCAATGGAGCAGCCAATTCTAACTTCATGAGGGATAATCCCTTCTTTGGGAAGCAACGAGAATCATTAATTCTGCCAGACATTTGAGAAGCACTCATGAGAATTTCATAACAAAGAACATAAAATTCCAGAAGACTAATTCTAAAATTGGGGTGGGGGAGCACATAACTTACCCAGTGAGATCAGGTTGTTATAATTCTCCAACATTACATCTCGGTACAAACTCTTCTGAGCAGAGTGCAAGCATTCCCACTCTTTTTGAGAGAAGTAAATGGCGACATCTTTGAACTTGAAGCCCTGAAACCAAAGATCAATATGCTGTTTGTGAAACTGATGGGTAAAATCTTTACAACTGAATGAAAAAGAAAATGGAGAAAGCAATTTAGTAAGGTAACAATATTGAGAAAATAGACTGTGCTGGGCCCTTTAACAGGGATGGTTCAGTGTGGAAGTAAGAGTGATTGGAGTACACCATTCTTGGCACACACATCATGCTTAAGCATGCCTGCAACTACAGAAGTAATCTCTTGGGCTCTACCTCTTCCATTATCCCCCCCAGGTCTGGGAATAACCAAAGTTCAAACAACTGGTGTTTCCTAAGTAAATAAAACTATACATGCAAGCACATGGCATACTCTATGTTCACCATACAACACCTGTGACTATCTCCTTTCTATTCTCCCAACAAAAAAAGACTTTTTAAAAGTCTGAATCATTCAAAAATATCTTATAAAATTTCTATTTCTGAAAACAGGATCTGAATATAACTAGATGATTTATATGATGATTTACTTACAATTTAATAATTTCTTAAAAACTTATACCCATAAATATACCAGAATATTAAAGGCTGATCACTTTTCCATGTGATCAAAAATTCTAAAATAGGTATCATTTTTACCAGCTTGTATGACATTTCCATCTTATTTTGGGATACTAGTTTGCACAAGTTCTCTATTATTCTTTTGCAGTATGAGTCATTTCTTCTCAACAATTTATGCATCCGGTTATATTGTTCCTGTTCCCATAAATTGTCCTTGATCATATTCTCCTTGTTCCTGATCTGCCTGAACTGATGGAGGAGGATCCAGACTCACACTGATGTGACTCAAGATGAGCATACAGAGAGAAGTTCAAAATGGACCCACTTATTGCTGTCTACCTGGCACAGACTTCTTGGAATATCACATAACTCCATACACTCAATCTATCATATCTCTATCATATCCTCAGTCTTAAAAATCTCAAAAGAGTTACAGATATGGGCAAATACTGAGACTGCAAGTCAACATCAATTACCTGCTTGTCTAATTAGAAAACCCAAATTTGCAACCCGGGATCCCACTTAACCATTTCATAAAATGACCACTCTAACAAGGAAGGCATAAAATTTCTCGCAAGGATTTCCACTCCACCAGTATTCCTGATGAAAGGATATGCACTTAAGGAATGCCAAGTGGTTTTGCTGAATGAATACTGAGATACTTGGTAAACACAGGAGCACTTATGGGACAGCAGCCTTTGGTGGCATCACTCACTAGAAGAAGACCTGGAGAGCAGGTTAAGTTCCTTGGAGGGGCTTAGGGAAGCAGGAAGTTTTAGGAAAAAGAAATCCACTGTTCAAATCTTTCAAAATAAAAAATGCATTCAATGAAGGAGAGGAGAAATATCAATTCACATAAATAATGGCTTTTAGGGTTGCAGAAACAGATCATTTATTTCTTGGGTTCATCCTAGAGAAATACAGAGCTTGAGAAGGCAAAGGAGGAAAAAGCAAAAGCAGCCTTATTTGAGTCACCAGACTGACCTTGGAGTCCCCCCCCCAAAGGCCGAGAATGAATTTTCCTCCCCTTTCCTGTTTCAATCTTCCTGCCTTTTTTTTTTTTAAGATTTTATTTATTTATTCATGAGAGACACAGAGAGAGAGAGGCAGAGACATAGGCAGAGGGAGAAGCAGGCTTCATGCAGGGAGCCTGACATGGGACTTGATCCCAGGTCTCCAGGATCAGGCCCTGGGCTGAAGGCGGCGCTAAACCGCTGAGCCACCCAGGCTGCCCCAATCTTCCTGCTTTTGACACTTCTTTCTCCCCCACACTCTGTGTGTGTGTGTGTCTCTCACACACACACATATACACACACATACACGGTCTTTCTTGATTTTAGGGAGAATAACAAAACTGCCTGCCCTGAACCCCAGAATATCCAACTGTACACAATGTATTTAGAGGAAACAACTTTCCCAACTGATCTGAGCCCAGAGGGCCTGTTCTCACCTGCCCTGGGCAGATCCTTGTTCTACAACCTACAAGACACTGAGCTCCTCAGCCATTGAGGCATCCCAAAGACATGGTGGAGCCTCCAGCCCAAAGCACAGGACACTTGGGCAGGCCCAGCCTTGGACAACGGTTTCTGCCACCAACCACCTGGATGGTTTACAAGAAATCACAATTATCATAATCTTCATAGCCAACACATTCTGGTTCCCAACCAAGATCACAAGTTCCCTAAGTATGGCTTTCTTACCTGATACTATTCACTTGTATTGCTACCACTAGCCTTATTGCGGACAGTGAGTATTTACTGCATCTCAAATACATTTATTGCATGTTAAGCACTTTAAGCTTCTGGTGAGTTATGTGTATGAATCCTCGGGAGAAGCCCATGAATCCTAATTCAAAGGAAACTTAAGCTCAAAGAAGTGAAGTCATTTACTCAAATTTGCAGTTAGTAGTGGCATTGCAGGGTTTTGAATCCAGATTTCTCCAAATCTGTAGCTCATGGTCTTCTACTTCTGGCTCTTATAGATGCAGCCAGGGATTTCTGAAGATCCTTTAAAAGAAATCCTGGACTGGCACTCCACTCAGAGGAGCAGAAAATGCTTGGTCTGCTCACTGTAGGTCACTACAGAGCACAGTGCTCTATGAAGGGCAATCAAAAGTAGAAGAGAAGAAGCAGTTCGGCAAACAAAACTTTTATCCAAAATATCAAAATCTCCCATTACTCTGGCTCTGTGTGGGCGCTTGGAGGACATGATGATTTAGATCTAGCACCTGCCCTTAAAAAAGCTCAGAATCAGGAAGGAAAATAAAAAAAAAGTAGAGACAATCACAGGATATCAAGCTTTGAGGGGGCTGGTTCCCATGACCAAATCACCAACTGAAAAATAATGTTCTGAATATTAAAAACATTTTAGGATGCAATGATGATCTGGCAAAGAAGGAAAGTAACTGGGGTGCCTGGATGCCTCAGGTCATGATCCGAGGGTCCTGGGATCGAGCACCACATCAGGCTTCCTGTGAGCCTGCTTCTCCTGCTTTTCCGTCTCCTCCTCGCTCGTGCTCTCTCTCACTATCTCTGTCTCTCAAATAAATAAATAAAATCTTAAGAAAAAAAAAAGGAAAGTAATCTTCAGAAGCTAAAATTGAATCAAACTGAGAACCAACAGGAGAATGCTGAGCCACTGACACTTATTAATCAAAGAACCGCTGCTGAACCAAGATGACCATGAGCTTTGACAGTCAAAGAATGGGGGAGGGGAGAGACAAAGCCTATAGCTGGTCAAGATGGGAGTCTAAATGGTTCTGCCCTGGGGCAGCCTGGGTGGCTCAGCAGTTTAGTGCCTGCCTTCAGCCCAGGGTGTCATCCTGGGGACCTGGGATCGAGTCCTGCATCGGGTTCCCTTGCATGGAGCCTGCTTCTCCCTCTGCCTGTGTCTTTGCCTCTGTCTGTCTCTCTCTCTGTATTTCATGAATAAATAAAATCTTAAAAAAAAATGGTTCTGCCCTGTAAAGACCTGGGACCTCCAGGACCATGCCCACAAAATAAAGAAAAAGTAGAAGCAACACTTCCATTCTTGGGGACTACAAGGAAAACAGCCTGATTTGAATCCTGGCAGTTGGTGGAAAAAAAAACATTTTCCCCTGAGGAACTATAACCACAAGTCAGCCCTCCCACAGGTCTGTGGCTCACATGCACATTACTAAGGTGATCTATAAAACTTGCCATCTGTAAATCTACTTTAGAGTGGCTCTGGTTTGGCAGTGCTCTTGGCAGAAGCAAACACAGACCTGGTCTAGAAGAACAACCTTCAACCAGGGCTCAAGAATCCACAAACAGAATTCCAAGGATAATGACCCAAATGTCAAAAATAATAAAACAGCACAACATTGTGAATATACTAAACACCAAACACCACTAAACTGTACACTATAAAATGGTTAATTGTAGGTTATGTGAATTTCACCTAAATAAAAAATGATATAAAAATAAAACACACACAAAGGCATAATTGCAGGATCAGAGAGTCAGGAAAATCAATCATGCAATTGTTTCAAATTTCCATTATATTTTAAAGTTTTCATAAATAAAAATAAAAATATTAGGGGGAAAATGTCACACCTGCAAAGATTCATTTATTACATAGATAATGACAAAGACTATAAAACAGGTATCTAGGAGGTAGAAGGCAAAAAACAAAACCATGGGATCCCTGGGTGGCGCAGCGGTTTGGCGCCTGCCTTTGGCCCAGGGCGCGATCCTGGAGACCCGGGATCGAATCCCACGTCGGGCTCCCGGTGTATGGAGCCTGTTTCTCCCTCTGCCTGTGTCTCTGCCTCTCTCTCTCTCTCTGTGTGACTATCATAAATAAATAAAAATTAAAAACAAAAAACAAAACAAAACAAAAAAACACAAAATAGACAGGTAGATTTAAAGGAAAAAATATTTCTAGAACAAAGAAACCCAATATTTAAAATTAAGTCATACAATGGCTAGAATAAATATCTCCAAAGAAAAAACTTACTGGACTACAGATATAAAAAGAAATTATGCAGAATGTTATCAAAAAAGACAATATGGGAAAGCATAAGAGAGGGCAGGAAAAAATAAGAAGGTTTAACAGATATCTAACCACAGTTCTGAAAGGAAAAAGGAAAAGAACTGAGAAAAGGCAGTAACTAAAGACCTATTGGAGGTATCTAGCTGGCTCAGTCAATAGAGCACGTGACTCTCGATCTTAGGGTCATGAGTTCAAGCCTCAAGTTGGGCATAAAACTTACTTGAAAAAAAAAAGACCTAATGGATAAGAAATTTTCAGAACTAGAATAAGAAAGCCAATGAGTCTTATTCAGAAGCCCAATGAGTCACAAGGAGAATAAATAAAAAGAAACCCTAGACAATTATATCAAAACTGCTGAACACTAAAAGAAGATATGTTAGAAGCAATTTGAAAGGGACGCCTGGGTGGCTCAGTGGTTGAGCGTATGCCTTTGGCTCAGGGCGTGATCCTGGCGTCCCGA